GTGTGTTTTTTGTTTGTTTTGTTTTTTGAGACAGAGTCTTGCTCTGTCACCCAGCTGGAGTGCAGTGGTGTGATCGTAGCTTACTGCAGCCTCAAACCCTTGGACTCAAGTGATCCTCCAACCGCAGTCTCCTGAGTAGCTGGGGCTACAGACATGCACCACCACACCTGGCTAACTTTTTTATTTTTTTTAGAGATAGGGGTCTTGATATGTTGCTCAGGCTGGTCTTGAAATCCTGGCCTCAAGTGATTCTCCTGCCTCAACCTGCAAAAGTGCTGGGATTTCAAGCATGTGCCACTGCGCCTGGCCAAGAACACTTAAAGGTTAAGTGAGAACTTCACATTATGCCATATCAGGAGGTACACAATGCCTGCTTGTCCCACCATTAGCAATCCTTAGTTTTTTCACTTCATAAGGTGGTCAGAAAAGCAGACCTTTTGGTTGGAAAGGTAGGTTATTTCCCTTTGTAATTAGCAAGTAACAGAATTCGGATCCCTTCACATCTTAAGACACCTTGGCAACCTGACGAACATAGCAGATACATTCAAGATATTTGCCTGAATTAATTATTACATTGGAAGAGGTGCAGAATGAGGATGTTCTAATTCTACTATTTCTTTTGTATATTTTAGCTGACATTATTCTATGAGGAAAAGCTCCCTCATCAGTGGAGATGAACTGCACTTCTTTCTGAAGAGGCAAGGTCAGCCAGGCGCAGTGGCTCACACCTGTAATTCCAGCACTTTGGGAGGCTGAGGTGGGTAGATCACCTGAAGTCAGGAGTTCGAGAGCAGCCTGGCCAACATGGTGAAACCCTGTCTCTACTAAAACTACAAAAATTAGCTTGGTGGCACATACCTGTAATCCCAGCTACATGAAAGGCTGAGGCAAGAGAATCTCTTGAACCCAGAAGGTGGAGGTTACAGTGAGCTGAGATGGTGCCACTGCACTCCAGCCTGGGCAACAGAGCAAGACTCTGTCTCAAAAAATAAATAAATAAATAAATAGGCAAGGTAATGGCTTCTTTCCTATTGATAGAGTAGAGGTGGTGAAATATTCTCAATAACAGCAAAGTTTTATTTTTTCTTTTGGTTGTCACTATGGATTCGTAGAATTGTTTGCTTTTTTTCTACAATAAATTATAGCTATTACAATACAGTGTGGTGATGTTTAATACTCAAACTATTCCTCATTTGGCCAGTGGGAGCCCTTCAAGCTGGCTCCTATGTGCTTTTAACACATCCATCGATCTCTGAGCATTTCCTTGATTGCTGGTACAACTAGACGTTGCAAGCTTACCTTTACTTTGCGTGTCCCAGATCTGGGATCAGCCATTATTTGTTTCAGTAGAGAATGGTGTTTAGAAACCAGGTTCTGAGTGCTTGGTGCACTGACTGGTATTGGATTGTCTTTGCCTGTGGGCCCTTCCAGTTAAATAAAAAATGGGAATTATATGGAAAAATTCATGATATTGTGAAGGTATTTCTAATCCCATGGTTTTTTGTTTGTTTGTTTTGAGACAGAGTTTCAACCTTATTGCCCAGGCTGAAGTGCAATGGCACGATCTCCACTCACCACAGCCTCCATCTCCTGGGTTCAAGCAATTCTCCTGCCTCAGCCTCCCAAGTAACTGGGATTACAGGCATGTGTCTCCACACCTGGCTAATTTTGTATTTTTAGTAGAGACAGGATTTCTCCACGTTGGTCAGGCTGGTCTCAAACTCCCGACCTCAGGTGATCTGCCTGCCTTGGCCTCCCAGAGTGCTGGGATTACAGGCATGAGCCACCGTGCTTGGCCAGATTGGCTTTTATAAAAACTTTACTTATTTGCTATTTATAAGAGGCATACCTAAAATATAAAGTCGGAGAAAGGTTAAAACATGGAGGCAGGGAAGGAATTTAAAAAGATACCAGACAAATAGTGATCAAAAGAGAGCAGGTATGAAATTAATATCAGAACAAATAAGCTTTGCAGTAAAAAGGATTGATAGGGATAAAGCGGATCATTATTTAATGATAAAAGAAGAAATTTGGCCAGGTGCAGTGGCTCCCACCTGTAATCCCAGCACTTTGGGGGGCCAAGGCAGTGGATCACGAGGTCAGGACTTTGAGACCAGCCTGACTAACATGGTGAAACCCTGTCTATACTAAAAATACGAAAAGTAACTGGGCATGGTAGCACGTGCCTGTAATCCCAGCTACTCAGGAGGCTGAGGCAGGAGAATTGCTGCAACCTGGGAGGTGGAGGTTGCAGTGAGCCAATATTGTGCCACTGCACTCCAGCCTGGGTGACAGAGTGAGACTGAATCAAAAAAGGAGAAGGAAAAGGAAAATAAGAAATTCACCAAGAAGATAAAACAATTCTGAACATGACAATAGTCTCAAAATATATAAGGCAAAAAAGCCACTGAGTCCCAAAGATAACTTGACAAATTTGGTGGGAGATTTTAATACCATTTCCTCAAAATTGATAGAATCACAGAAAAAGTAAGAAATTTGAAAACAGTCAGTAAACTTGATATGGAAAGAACAGCACCCCTGCCTGAGAATCAGCAGCCTCCACGCAGGAGGACCGAGGGGAAGCCAGGGAGCAGGGTAGCCTGAGCCAAGGCCAAGCCCAGTTGAGAACCCACTCCCAAGTGGAAGGAGGTGGCCAGGCGCAGTGGCTCATGCACTTTGGGAAGCCGAGGCGGGTGGATCACGAGGTCAGGAGATTGAGACCATCCTGGCTAACGAGGTGAAGCCCCGTCTCTACTAAACATACAAAAAATTAGCCAGGCATGGTGGCACGCATCTCT